CGGAGCTTCTGGTTTCAGCTTAAAGGTGGGCTCAAGACCCAGATTAAAGTTAAAAAAAAAAGTTTGTGTATGTTTATACAGCCTAGAACTTAGTCTGCCTTAACGGGCGACTTGTCTCCCAGCTGTAGATGAGAAATTTAGCCTGTGCAGTACACTAGCCTGGGGTCGTTAACATGCATCGCGCTGCACCGATACACGACCGCACGCCGGTACGATGCTCACCCAGATCAAAACGGGCAGGGGTGGGGAAGATTGCAATTAGGGGAAGCGTGCTCTTGATTCTCCATGGTTCTCTATGAGGCACGTGGTGATTCCATCTGCCCCCAGTGCGGGTGGAGACAAAGCATCCGCACTAACGGCACAGAGCAAAGGTACAGAGCACGAGCTCTTAGCAGTTGATCCCTGTGCCCAGGCGCTGCGTTGGCGGCTCACATGGCTTCGGCCTCGCGGGCGTAGCATTCGTTTTGCTCCAAGTAAGTGTAAAACATAGCGTAGTTCTGCATAGTAAAACATATAAAATAGCGCTAAAAAAGACAAGGACAAGAAGTATACAGGACAGGCGCTTTTCAGCTCTGCTTTTCACCGTATACGAGTCGTGCCGATCGACCCTCGAGGCGGACATGATCGCTGCACTCGCAAGTTGCGTCGTCTCATTCCCACGCGCCGTCCTGCATAGGTTATTGTAAACGGTGCCACACTTTCGTCCAAGTCTTCTGCAGCGTTAAAGCGCTGGGGAAGCTACGCGAGCATTGACAACGTGGCACAAAAGAAGTTGATGCCCACTATAAACCAAACTATAAATTGATGTTAGAGATGCCTTTCCATACACTGCTGTTTGTATCTGGCATTAGAGATTTGGGCTACAGTTGTTGTAACACAAAATCTCCTATACACGACCAGCTCGTGGCATTGTAGGCTTGTCGAACGATTGAAACCGATTTTCTCCCACAGAAAAGGGTTTAAAAAGGGCTTGGAAAATGATAAAATCTAACCTGGTTTCGGGGAGCGGCGTGAAAAATTACCGTTATGAGGGTTGTGCAAGACCAAAACTTAATAATAAAAAAAAAAGATCGTCGTAATCAAGGAATACTCACGCCAAATCGATAAAGGCTACGAATTTACCCCCCCCCCCCCCCCCCCCCCCTTTTATCTGCGTTCGTGAGCGAGTGACTAAACGAGTTGCCTTTTACTCCATCACAGGGGAGGAGGAGGAATAAACTTTATTATAACTTGAGCAGACGAAAGCTTGTGCGTCGTCCCCAGGTGGGTGGCTGCCTCAGTCCAGGATGCCATGGTCCCGCGCTGCCAGTCTGGCCCTGTTGACCAGTCGGGACTGGTCCTCAGGCTTTGAGCTGGTCAGCTGGTCCTCCCACTGCTCCGCGGTTGGTCGGGAAATGGGGGGTATGGAAGTGTTGTGCTTGCACTCCTATACCATATGGTAGAGAGTGTTAGGCACTCGACAGTTTTTACAGTCGTAGTCATATTGAGTTGGGTACATTGCGTGAAATATTGTGTCGTGCGGGAAAGTGTTAGTTTGCAGCTGTCTAAGTGTCACGGCGTCCTCTCTGGATATTGTGGAGTATGAGGGAGGGTAGGTTCTCCACCCTATACCTTGTCTCACCCTATGATGGACTAAAGGCCAAAGCCACGGGCCGCCAGGTCCAATCACGTTCCGTGCACGCTATACTATGACACGCTTAACACTGATTAGGGTTGGACGAATAATGCTCGAAACCAAAAGCGCCCCATTATTGCTATAGCTTTGACGCTGCAAAAGAGCCTATATTTCGTGGCTTTCTTTGCGATGTACAATTGTTGAGTCACTCTGTGCTCTTCGATTCGAATCACTGTCCACCCGTCCCCTCATCAGTGATCCGAGACGCGGGCACCAACACGTGCATCGAAGCGAAAGACCGCACAATTTCTAAGTGGCTCGTGATTGGATCTGGCGGTCCGTAGTTTTTGCCTTTAGTCCATCGTAAGGTGAGACGAAGTATAGTCTGTAATGTGCTAGAATGTCGGTGTATCTTTTTGGAACGCCCTCGTCTGTATCCGCTGCAGCACGGTCGCCCAGCGAGGTAGGCCGGAGAGAGTGTTCTCGGGCAGCGGCATGCGCCGCTGCCCGATCCAATCGTGATATTCGGCCTAATTGGTAATTTCTGCAGGCTGCAGCTTGTGAGTCTAATATTACCGTGAGGAGTTCCTTGCCTGTCGTCGCCGCAAGAGCGATTGCTGTCTCCTCTGCTGAGTCCGTGTCTGGGGTCCTCACGGAGGCCGCCGCGATTTCTTCTCCCTTGTTGTTTACCACGCGCAATCGCGTGTGCTTTCTTTCCCTTGTATTTCGCTGCGTCTGTGTACCGCACGCGGTCATCGTCTCTCTCGTAAGTCTTTCTCAGTGCTCTCACTCTTGCCATTCGTCGTTCTTTGTTGTGTTCTGGATGCATGTTGCGAGGAATGGATGAAACTGTGATATTGTCTCTTAGTTATAATGGAATCCTTTGTTTACTTCTTGACTCGTCTTCGATTGCGTGTCCCTGCCCGTCCTGGTGAGCTTAATTAAGTCTTTCAACCTGGCTCACTGAGTCACCTTGTGTGCTTCTGCCAGCTCTTCCCATGTGTTATGTATACCCAATCGGAGTAGTTTCTCTGTGGAGGTTGTTGGGGAAAGCCCCAAGGCCAGTTTGTATGTCTTGCGAATGAGTGTGTTAATCTTCTCGCGCTCGCTGTTTCTGAGCCTCAGATACGGGGTCCCGTACGTTATTCTGCTGATGACGAGTGCTTGAATGATTCTCAAAGTGTCTTGCTCCTTGAGGCCGTGGTTTCTGTTTGTTATCCGTTTTACTAAGTGCGTAACTTGTGTGACTTCTTGGAGTTTCTGCACTGTGGCGATCCCTGCACCATCCTTCTGAAATACTAGTCCCAGGACACGGAGCACGTCGACTTGTGGGATGTTATCTTCATGTAGAGTTAGTACGGGGTCTGGTGTTTCCGGTGGAGGACGATTTCTCGCCCTCTTTCTTAGCACCAAAAGTTGCGATTTATCCGGGGCGCACGAGAGACCACAATCGTTCAGATATCTCTCGGTCCTGTTCACTGCTTCTTGCAGAGCGTCTTGCTGCATTCCTGCCGATCCCGACGTCGTCCATATGGTAAGGTCGTCCGCGTAGATTGCATGGCTGAGACCTTTAATGTCTTTTAGAAGGAGCGGTAGACCCCTCATTGCAATATTGAAGAGCAACGGTGAGATCACCGATCTCTGAGGGGTTCCCTTTTGTGGTGCCTTGATCTGTTCGGTCCTTAGGTTTCCCAGGCCTATGGTCGCTGTCCGGTCCGTGAGAAAGTCACGGACGAAATTATAGGTATTTTGGCCGCAGGTTGTCCTTTGTAAGCTGTCAAGCACCGCTCTGTGGGAGATGTTGTCAAACGCCCCTTTGACGTCCAGTGCTAGAATTTCGCTCTTTTGATGCGTGCTGAGGTGGTCTATTACATCCTCTTTGAGTTGAAGAATGATGTCCTGGGTCGATAGAAGAGGTCTGAATCCAAACATCGTGTTAGGGAGAAATTCGTTCTCCTCGAGATACGGGGATAGTCTGTTGTGTACCATGTGCTCGAAGAGCTTCCCCACACACGATGTGAGGGATATTGGTCTCAGGTTCTGCACAGTGATCGGTTTGCCCGGTTTTGGAATCATTGTCACATCCGCGTGTTTCCAGCATGCCGGTATCTTCCCGGTCTCCCAGCTCTCGTTGATGACGTCCAGGTTACGGAGCGTCTTGTTGTTAACTCCGTCCCTTCCTGGGGTCGTGTTTCTCGCCAAGTTCCCGAGCGCCGCCACTATCTCCGTTCTGCTGAAGGGTTGATCCAATTCTGGGTTGGATTTGCCCTCGTACTCCAGGTGAGTGATCGTCGTCGTCTGTTGTTGTTGTTGGTTGCCAAGTTCGACTTCTCCTTCGGGTAAATTTTTGCTGTGTTATTTTAATTTTATTAGAAATTTACGGCGCCGTTTATTCATGTTTATTTTTGTATTTTACACGGCTCTCATTGCACCTCGACGTTGTTCCGCTTGCTCACTGTGATGTCCTTTTAATTTTTATTTTAGTGCGACCTTCCTCAGTAGGAACTTTTTGCAGCAGCTCTTTGCGTAGAAAAGTTCGGTTTTATTCGTACTCCATGAAAACTTCAATCGTGTTTTTGTTTTAATTGTAGCTATTGATGTGCGATAAAAGAAAAACAGATTTAAATTATACTTCGTTTCAGCTTCGGTCCAGACGCAGCCAAAGCTACAAGCGCGAGCTCCGGGCTTTCAGCATCCCTGCCAAGCACGCGCGCTCGTGCAGTGCAAGCGCTGTTCTGGGCCACATGCTCGCGCTTGTAGCATCGGCTGCGTCTGGACCGAAGCTGAAACGAAGTATAGCGATCCGCGGCTAAAGCCTATAAAAAAATTACAAAAGAGAAAAAAAAAAAGGTTTACTCGAAATCTCAATGGCTTCTGTTTCTCCTCACAGCCTAGCGCGCCGTTCGCGGCCACACTTTAGGTAAATAAATATAGCAACTACCATTAGCATAATCAACTTTAGGTAACGCAAGCGTACCACTCTGCTCACCACCACATAGTTTGATACCGAAACTGAAACCATTAAGGTTTCGGTTTTAATATCAAACGAATCGTAACTTCTAAAAAGAGAGTAATTATGGGAAAACGACGTAACATCTCGGGACCAGGAAGTGACTAGCATACAAATGATGCTCTTGTTCACGGCTATGGTTATGGTGCTCCCTTAGCTAAGGTTGCTCAAAATATCGGCAGATATCTTGGATTCGGTGATGGGGCTGGAAGGGATTATTAAAGGGTTGCGATCACCAAGAGGAAGTTACAGCCACTACAAACCACCATTAATCAAGTTATTGTTTATTTATTTATTGTTTGTGCTATCGTTTGTTTATTTTGGGGACTGGAGGCCCACAACTCTCCTGGTCCTGGCTCGCCTGGCGTCACACTATTTCTCTATGAATATAGTTCCTCTGGCTGCCGCAAGACACTGCTACTGCGCCACCCAGAAGCACACTGCCCTCTGTTGTACAAAGCGAGAATTACGCCGTCGACTGTCTATCGGTGGAGGATTGTGTCTGTGTTTTCCTGGATTTGTCGTTAGAAAATGAAGCTTACGTCTTTAATCCTGTTCTGTGAGTATCCGGAGTTATTTAACATTATTCCATGCATCACATAGAATTACGTCGATAGCCCTGTGTGCCTCAATAACGTCGCCTTCGTACACAAACATCATCTCTGCGGCAGGTGTGTCGACTTATGTCACATGATTTTCGGTTCAGTTGTTGGTACCGGTGTTGTAACTCTTTTTTTGAGAAAAACTTTACTGGTTTGAGGTGATTTTTCGATTGCCTACGGCGTAAAGTGAACTCGTTTTCCAAGTTTCTTGTTTAAAAAATCTCTCCTAGATTGTTTGTTTCTACAGTACACCCCTCATCAACGACCGCAAATATTTGCTTATTCAGTGCGAGTTTGGTTTATAAAAAAATTTGGTGCCGATGGAATATCCGACTACATTGTGATAGCGTCTCCTGATGACTAGTAGATTCTTGCTTATCAAATGTGCAGATTCATACTCTAATAGGGATGTCGTGAAAATTACAAGCAACGTAGTAGTCCAGCCTAACGTAACCTCGAATGCTTACCGTTTTCAAGTAGCACTGTTTATAACGTGCACATTGGCTACAGTAATTACTGACTAACACGAAGCGTGCTCGACAATGCTTGTGGAGGTTACCTGTGCGTAAATTATATCTGCTTTCCAAAGCACATTCGAGGTTCAAGTGTTAATGGTCTTGCTGTTCACTCCAGCACACTTTTTTCTCTGCTTTAAAAACTGATGGCTCTTTTTTATTTTACAGGTCTAGTTGCCCGTGCTTATGGGACCGAAAAGATCTTTATTCCACTCGCTCCTGAGTCTGTAAAGTTTATCTCGAGCCAAACCATCAAGTCGTCACAGCTAGGCGATGTTGTGTCAAGCATGCTTGGTTTTGCAGTAAAGCCGGTGAGTTTCTTTGTTAAATGCTGGATGGGTGGGCATGCACACCTACTGTGGTCAGGCTGTGAAAAGTTGCAGACATCTGCTTTTGCATTGCTTTCTTTGGAATTTGAGTAGAAACATGGTCATGACTTACTAACTTTACAGCCTACATGCATTTTTAGGTGTGATTTTGAGCACATTATAGAACTGTGTTGGATATAATGATGCTTAATATGTCAGGTCCCTCGCTAGAACCATAAAATTTCCCATTTACTTCATAAGCAGCAGCATCGAGTAGTTTTCAAATATTCTTTTGATTGTGCTAAATAAATTTATAGAAGGTTCTTGTGTTGACTTTTTGTTCACTCAAAAATTCATCCATTCTTGTTAGGATTTTTCGTCCTCGTTCTTTTTCAATAGCTTGGGCAACGTCTCGGAGTTGCAAATATCTCTCGGCAAAAAATATGCTTGATCTAAGAGATGCTGGCATATGGATACACTTTTATTTATTCTTTTTTGGAACTTTTTTGTTACTTGCTTACAATGATATGGCTTTTAATCGCACTGCAATCCACCAGGTTTGTTGATGTGGCTCAATTATGCAGGGTCCAGCTTTATTGTGAAGCTATATGCTTTCGACCAAATGAATTTTACACTGATTAAAAAAAAACAAAAAACGCTTTAGTGTTGAGCCCCTCGCATCACCAGGTTTTACATGGGCCGACATTGAATGGTTGTTTTAAGATCGTTTTGCCGCCTTTTAAGGAATCTCGCACTTTATAAGAGCTGAAGAGATTCTGCCATTGGACGAATTGGTATTGTCACGAATTCTTCCGTTATTGTCATCTAACGCCTTTGGTTTTAACATGTTGATGGGAGAACACGGATTATCGGCCTATTTTCTGTTTAAATTCCCCTGTGCAGGAGGACCCTTGGAACAGCCTGTCTCCTATGAATCCGTTCAAAGTTCCCAAGACCACCATTGTGCTGGACTTTGATGGCTTTGACGGAGACACGACCCTCGATGTGCCGGGACACAGTTTCCCCCTGGACAATGTGAGTGTAATGGCTGGATCATTTTGAGGTTCCCTGACGAGACACAGAGGGGACTGAATTTCTCACTGTTTGCGATCCTTGGCCATCCTCATGCCAAGTCACTGAGTGAACAAGACCACCTGCTCCATCAAAAAAACAAGACATCCAGACTCGTGAAAGGTTGACTGTCACAATGTCTGTTTATAGGTCTATCGTAAAGATTGCTTCTGATTAAACTGCTTTTCAAGTTTGTCATATCACAAACTATAATAACACAGAATGTACAACATGGCTTGCTCCCAGCAATTTTTAGTAACACACTTTTGAAATGGAAAAGTTTCACATTAGTGCTGTGTCAGTGTTCGGCTGAAACTCGTGTCCTCACTCATTGAACGCAAGTCCCAGCAGAACGCCGACACGGCACTCGTGTCCAATTTGCGCCCCTTGCTAACCTCGGACAGAAGGCATAGAAAAGAAATAAGTAACCCCGAGAGCACGCTTGCATGCCTGAATAACGGGCCCTCCTCGGTGGCAGACGTGCTTTCTGCCTGGAACAAACTATACAAATTGGCAAAGGCCACAAAATCTCTTGCTCATTTCGTAACGGAAGTTTACCTGGACTCCTACTTCTAGGTCATGAACCTTGGTGTTTGTGAATCTTGCAACTATTGTGCCATTTATTCCCTGCTCCGTCACCTCTTTAGAGGGACACTAACAGGGTATTTATGCTTACCAAGGTTTTTATTTGTACATGACATATGAGAGCCCAACTACCCAGAACACAATTTGCGGCTTGAAATTCGTTTTCTTTCCACCCGAAAACTGCCGATCGAGAACTGGCCAGTTTGAGTCGTGCTCACTCTCTCCCTTCTCCGTGGCATGTGCCGCTCTCTATGGTTGACACACACACACCAAATATAATCAAAGTCGTTGGTCATCGGAGGCATACACTCTATGCTAAAAATAGACAACAGATATGATACCCATTTTTCGTGACTTGTAAAAAACTGCAAATACTTTGAAAAAAAAAAAAAAAGGTGCACAGCCACTTGATTTTTGGTAACTTTCTCCTCGTCTGTATTTTTTCCAGGGACTCAAACCGAAAAATATAACGTTTCGGTTACGGTTACGGTTACCGCTTCCTGTTGATAACGGTTTCGTTTCGTTTTTTTACGGTTTTAATTTTTACGGTTTCGGTTACCGGTTACACGTTCATAAAAACCGGTTTATTTCGGTTTTTCCAATAATTTGTCTAATTGAAATGCTAGACAGCCATTTTAGAAAAAACTGTTTAAAGTAGTCTCAGATATCCAATAACGCGAAATACAAGGAACCTAGAAACGTCTTAATACTTCTAATTGGTCAGAAGTTGCACACGTTCCTAGCTCCAACTCTTGTTCACTACATCTACTTACATTATTTAGTTTGATGCCCGAGCATACATGTTACTTCTAGTACTCGGGGATCATCGCGTTCTATATAATAAAAATTAAAATAAACACCGCTACTCTGTTGTTTGGCACCATTATAAACAATTACCCTAAGAAAGTTCCCACTTGATGCTGGAAGAACCATTCGCACTTTCTCGTCGCTACAGTTGATTTCAACCTCATACATGCAGGCGAGTCTTCGCTTCACTGAAGGAAGGAACAGAACTACAGCCATCCACTAGTAAAATACTGCTAAGTGGAATGAAGTAATAAAATTGAGAGCTGGGCTGGGCGGGCCGTGAGGCTAGAAGCCTTCGTGCAGCGAATGGAAAGTCCGCCGTAGTCGGGCGGCCCGTGAAAACTACTTGCCTCACTAAACACTGCCCAGTCGACTTCAGGTGCCTGCTGGGTCGAGTGGACTGGCGGTGTAGGTCCCGTCGCTTTTGACTTGTAGGCAGTGCTACCCAGGTCCGACTGAGAGTCTTCGACGACGCTTTGTTTGTCTGTAGTGTGTTCCTTTGTGTTGGTGTGGTTTTCCTCCTTGCCATCGTACGTGTCGAAGGAGCCGTCATCGGCGTGGGGCTCAATGACAGTGTCGGTCCTGCTGAGCCACTCCAGGATTCGCTCGGTGGCGGTGGTTGTCGAGTCGGGATCCATTGGGTCGTTTTCTTCGATCCAAGATCAAGCTCGGGCACGGTCGGCCAAGACGCCAGCCTCGCAAAGAGCATGGGCGAGAATGTCCTCGACAGGAAAAACGCACAGGAGCGTCGAGGAGACGACTGTGCCGTCGATGACGGCACTGGTGGGTTTCGAAGACTCAGCGTAGCTGCCGGACTCACGATTAGGGGGCCTCTTCGACTTGGTGTCTGGGCGGTAGCTGGTGTCCGCGGGAGCACGAGGCGTGTGGCGTCCGCGTCGAGGCTGGTTCGGTAGCTGGTCGGGGAGCTCTCTGAAAACCTCAGACTCGAATCCTCGACGTCTGGGATAGGACTCCCGTCCTACAGTTCCCTCTCGCGACGACGTGGAAGAGTTCCAGTCTATCGAAAATGAGGTGCTGGTGTTCGGGGAGCATGTCATCCCAGTAGAACCGATGGCGGGGGAGATGCCTGATCTCATGGACATCTCTCGTGGAGAAACCTATGGTGTCCTGGGCGAGGTCGCTCAGAATGTCGTAGGCATGACGGACCCTCGCTCCGGCATGGGTGGTGGGGGCTCTATCAGAGGTAGTTGGATTGCGCTGGTGGCTCTGGTAGAAATGATTCTCGTAGAAGCCATACCTCCGGCGGTGGCAGGGGGAGGCCTCCGGCGATGCTGGAAGCGATCTCTCGGCGCGTCTGTGGATGTTCGAGCTCACCGTGCCGACGTTCGAATAGCTCGCGTTCACAGTTTTGCGAGAGAGACTGTTGAGACTGCTGGCCGTGTGGGGCGAGATTGGACAGGCCATCGACGATTGGAAGCAGGGCAGCTCCCAAGGTTCAGGCGAAGGAGGCAGAAATTGCATCCCATGTCTGTTGGACGAGGGTGGCGCGTTGGCGCGTTTGACGAGGAGGCATCCTTCTCCTTGGCTTTTTCTTTTGTCATGTTGAGAAGCTGAGAGGCGTGGCAGTGCCGGCGACGGTAAAGCCCCTCTGTCCTGGGAAAAGTGGCGCCGTTCATTGTTGTTAAATGCTCGAGGCATGTGCGACGCGCTACTTCTGGGAAATTCATGCCGTCTGAAATAGCTAAGTGTTGCGCTGTGCCGCCATGATCTTCCCAAGGGCTGCACGTTGCACGTGCCTTGTGCATCGACGAACATTGCGCTACTTTTGAAACATGAAGGGGCTTTAGGCGGCGGGTGCCACTCGGTTTGAAGAAGGGTCTCGGCGCGGGAAGGAAAAGAAAAAAACTCGGACACCCTTCTGACGTTTCCTCGCTCCTTCCACCACTCTCAGCCCGAGCATATATATATATATATATATATTGTATATATAATACAAAACGCCAATGTCAAACCCCTGACTTTTTTTTTCTTTCTGTGTTGTTTCAAAATCGTCACTCGCGACACGTTTCACACTAAATGAACAACATAAACATTATTAATGAACAGCAGGGCCCATTAAAGCCCTTTCATGTTTCAAAAGTAGCGCAAAGTGCGTCGATGCACGAGGCACGTGCAACGTGCATCCCTTGGGAAGGTCATGGCGGCACAGCGCAGCACTGAGCTAGATTTCAGACGCCATGTTCTTTCCAGAAGTGGCGCGCTGAACGTGTCTCGCGCGTTTCCACAACAATGAAGGCGCCACTTTTCCCATGATACAGGGGCTTTAGTGCCCGTTTGCTCGAAGCGCTAACCCCGGCTAAAGTTAGCCGCAGTACCTAGGAGAGGGATTCTTAGATCATGTGACAGGGATCGGTAGGGATGCGGGAAAAGTCTTTGGAAAGTGGATTGCCTTGACTCAATCGGCCTTGTATTGATAGCACACAAATTTCCCAAGCACCGAGGTGCATGCTACGAGTGTAGTTGCAGGCATTGCGCGTGCTGGCGTATGCAGTAGTAATATACCCGTTGCTGTGGGCAGGGGGCGCGAGCGCGTCCGGAAGACTTACGCAAGACGCGACCAAGTTTTGCTGGCTGCATCATCCGTGTGGCGCTGTAACGTTCGATTTTGCACGTGCCACGTTCGAATACAAGCCGCTGTCAGCATCTGTAGATGTGCGGTAACAAAACGTCTAAAAAAAAGTTAAAAAAAAAAAGAACAGAATTATGCTGCTTGCGGCCGCAGCGTTCCATTAAACATTCCTTTCATATTTGCTTTCTTTCACAGCTTCCGCGAGCACGTATATTTCACTTTACGTGATAGTGAAGCCGAAGCTACTCGGAAAAGCGCGTCATCCTGAACGATGCTCGCACTGCACGAGCGCGCGTGCTTGGCAGGGACGCGGAAAGCTCGCAGCTCGCTCTTGTAGCCTCTGCTACGCTGGAACTTAGAATGGAACTGAGTAGAAAAAACTCTAGTGGGGAAGCGTATTGATGCATGTTCGAAACGCGAGCCAAATATTCTTTTTTTTTTTCGCCTGCAGCGCTGCTCAGAACTTGTGAGCTACGGGCCTATCGTTCTAAAGGAAAAAGTCTAAAACAAATTTTGCCTTGCACGCGCGTTCGTCCAAGTCTTATAATGATTATTTACTTCGAATCTTTTATAAGAGGAAGGACAGCGAGCGCGGACCATAGAATTACACTTCCAGCGTTCTTCTCGATGCTTGGGTAATTTAGAAAACGGTCTGTTGGGGCGGGACGCTGGTCTTCTTTTGTGTACTATTAATATCCGGTCGATTGAGTCAAGGCAATCCGCTTTCCAAAGACGTTGCCATGCCGACAATTATCGCGTTCATTTAGGCTTAGAAAGGCCAGAATCGAAAGACTATGCAACAGATGCCGCGAAGTCATTGCTCGTGCTTTGCGATTTAAGCGAGGTAAGGCAAAGCGAAAGCCTCCTGCACCATTCGTTGCTGACTAACGCGCCCGATAGTGCAGCTACAACGACATATTAGTTACAAAGCGAGCAGCGCTCACGCACCGGGGCGCCGCCATGCTTCCCGGCATCCCAGCCCCCAGTCACGTGATTTCAAACTCCCTCTCCTAGGTACTGCTGCTAACTTTAGCCGCGGTTAGCGCTTCGAGCAAACGGGCCCAGGTTTTCTTTTCCGCCAGCTCTGCATGATGGCCAATTTACCTCGTTTCTTTATACTGGCTACTGCATGTCAGGAACATCGGTGGTTTTGATAGAACCGAGTTGGATGGACATCTGAGAATTCGAACTTATTAGTTAATACACTGAAACGACACGTACTGAATACATGTAGCGATGTAGGAGTGTGGCAGATTTAGAAATATAGAATTTTTTTAATTATAAGCTCGACCACTAATTCAATCTGAGTATTCTTAATCCTAAAGTCAGATTGAATGGAAATATATAACCAGATGCACCACTCGCTGACAGTAACTCTGTCAAATGGCCACAACAATTTAAGATCCCTCCTCCAGGTCATACTTCAGAAAAACTAATAGTTTATTTTTCGGTTAATATTGGTTAAAACCGGTTACCGGTGAATAATTTACGGTTCCGGTTACGGTTACGGTTTTTATAAATATCAAATAACGGTTTCGTTCCGGTTACGGTTACAGAAAAAATTTCGTTCCTAAACGGTTTTCGGTTTCGGTTACGGTTACGGTTTGAGTCCCTGATTTTTTCTTCCTGTTCCGAGCAGTTGCATTTTTTTACTTTAATAAAGATATGTGTCAGGCTGTAGCAAAGTATTGATTGGGTAGTATTTCGACACCATAATGGCATGGAAAAAAATAAGAACTTTTTTTTGGGGCGGGGGGGGGGGAGGTGTCAGTGTCCCTTTAAACTGTTCCTTTTATCTCCCCATCCCTCTCCCCAGCACAAAGTAACCATCCGGGACAATTTTTTGTTTTAGCCTCTTAATCTTTCTCTTCTTCATTCCAGCACTGTGGTTTCTTTATCTAGAAGGTATTGAGCGAACACACACGCATGCTTTGAGGGAGTGTGCTTACAACAAATTGTTCATAGAGTTACAATGGTTTGACTTCTGTATCTTAGTATCCAAGCCGAAGAATGTTTCAGGCAGCAAGTTCCGGAAGCGACATCTTGGCAGTATCTTTACAGGCTGTGCGCTACTCTCGTGTGGTAATTTTGTCACATTAAAACATGCTGTACATCATTACTCTGCACAAAAACAATGGGACTTGAGTTTGCAGCAATACTCCATATCAATGAGACTCTGAGGTGTGTATTTAATTGAAACTGAGAAATACTTATTTAGTCTGCTATGTTGCCCACCTCTCCATTGTTCAAAATTTGGAGTGCCTTTGCTTGCCTGTTGTGGACGGACACCTTTGTGGTGCCGGAATGTTTTCATATGTAAACATGGTAATACATTGTCTGTTGTTCATCTACCTCCTTTGCTTCCTCCAGATTTCTGACAGGGCTGAAGCACTTGTCAAAGCCTTATTCCAGTATTTTCTGTGTCCAGGATGCAAGCATGCAGAAACAGTTGGAGCTGCTTTCTGAAAGAACCTTGGAGAGGTTCTCAGATCAAGAGCCAGTGGTTGTTTACATGAAGACTGGAGATAAGGTACATGACACGGTTTTCTAGTTTTTACTTTCTTTCATGTTTCTGGAAACGAGGCATTTAGAGTTTTCTGCTTCCAAAGATAAACTTTTAACATATTTTTACGAGTTTTAGAATTGGTAGTTGCAGAAGTGGGGCAACAGCCCTTTATTCGCCGAGAAACAGTATGGGTTGAAATACGATTGGTTTTGAGCAATCGCTTACTGACCAACTTTTCAGCCGGTTGCCTGCTCACTGTGTGGCTGAACCAATCGGCAGTGCCTCTGAAGTGACGCTTTGCAATTCCTTGCATCCGGCATACTGGCATTTTGTTCTGCGAGAGGTACAACCAACGTGCTTATGGTGGCTGTCGTGATATTCTCCACAGAGGCTATAATCAATCAACTTCTTTATAATAATAAGCAGCACCCCAGTTTTCAAACTGTGCTTGAAAAAGTACTTGGTCCAGTCAAGAAATTGGTGCCACTTTTGCTCAACAGGTACTATCGGGGAAAAATGAAATGCGAACAGAGGAGCGCGTGGCTCGCGGTACAGGCTGCGCCGCCTGGAAGTGAGCCTAGGAGCGAGGGTGCGTGGCCTACTTCGATGTGTTCACGCCCCTCGATTGGCGCTCCCCCAGCTTCGGCAGTGCGCCTCTCAGAGCGCTGAAAGCTGTCACCACTATCTTTGCCTGCTCGGCGAGTGCGGCGAGCTTCTTTGCACCGCACGCGCTGAGCCAGCAAAGATAGCGGTGATAGCTTTCAGCGCACTAAGAGGCGCACTGCTGAAGCTTGGGGAGCGCAGAGGGAGGGGCGTGAACACGTCGGAGTAGGCCACGCACCCTCGCCCCTAGGCTCAGTTCCAGGCGGCGCAGCCTGTACCGCGAGCCACGCGCTCCTGTGTTCGCATTTCATTTTTCCCCGATAGTACATCTGTATGACGCAGGCTCGAATGAGTGCCTGCCAATCAGTGGCGTAGGCGGGGGGGGGGGGGGGCTTCAGGGGTCGAACCCCGCACCCCCCCCCCCCCCCCCCCCCCCCAAAATGCAGAAGCGACACCCCCCCCCCCCCCCCCCCCCTTCCTATGCCCGCATTAAGCCCGCTCACTACCCTGCTCACGCAGTCGGTCTTGCACGGGGCACAAAGCAAAGGGTGAGCGCGGATTATCTCCAACTTATATGCTTTCGGGAGGAATGCTTCTGGGGTAGAAAATTCTCAAATAAATAAAAAATAGTAAATATTTCTTCATTCTTTCTTGTTTGATGGGATGCAGAACTTGATCTGAGATATATAGAGCACATATATTTCGAAAGATTTGTGGGGTGAAGGATGGCAATTTCAAGGCAAGGTATAAGTATCCTCATAGAAATACATAGTTTAATCAAACTAAAGGGGATATAATACAATGCACACATGGTGATAATATAAAACAATGTCAGTGATGTAAGGAATATTAAATGAACTGTAAAAACAATTGCACTGTATGCAAATGGTGGTGCTGCGCTCACACACACCTTGTGTACTGATCAGAATTACATGCCTTCGACTGGAAATTACCGCGAATAAAAAAGTAACTATGACTAGTTATTTCAGAAAGCAATTTACAGGCTTTCTTGGCCATTTCATTTATGCCAAGCGCCTACGTACTAAGATGCAGCCGCCTGCGTTCACGGCAAATAATATCCAGGATGTCCATTGCTTGAACTTCAATATCGCGGTGAACATTCAAAAGCACTACACCGAGCAGTCGCTCATTCGAAGTAGATGCTCTCAGGTATGTTTTCAACCGTCGTAGTGAAGAGAACGAGCGCTCAGTTTCCGCCGTTGTTACGCGCAGAGTCGCTAGGATATTTGAGGAGACGATAGATGTTTGGGAATGAGGCCTCCGGACAGAGGGCGACCGTCTGTAGCGCAGACGTGGCGGGCGTTTTATGTTTCTCCCTCTTCCATTGGACACCTAAATTTTCCCTACTTTTGACAAAGTTTCCCTCACTTTGTGAAATTTCCCTCCATCGAGACGCCGGTCTCAATGGTTGCTCACAGATACGATGAAGTTTATCTTGCTTTCTGCTGTACATGTCGAGGTGGCATTTAATGTAATTCGTTATTAGATTAATCTTTTCGTTGCACGGAACATCAGAAACTTTGAAGAGCCTTCGTATTCTCACTACGCATAGGCGCAAGGATATTCAAGTTCGGTGTGGGGCCGTGGGGTTTGTGTGGTGTGTGATGTCATTTCTCCGAGTGACAGAATGCCGTGCGACAGGGATGGGCAGTATTTCAAATACAAGTATTTGAAATACGTATTTTAAATACTTTTTGTATTTTGCATTTGTATTTAATTACAATTGGGTAATGTATTTGATGTGTGTATTTAAATACTAAAACGTGGGTATTTCAAATACAATTGTAATTAAATACAATTTTGTGGGCGAAAATACATCCCTCAAATTTATTGTCACTGTCCAGAGCAGGAAGAAAACTGCGTTCTGCACCAAATGCAGTGCCTCTCAATCAAGCACAAGCGTTTAGTGACTGTGATTACGGTGCTAGTCCAGGGCAAGAATAGTGACAAAATAGATGTTCACAGGCAGACTGGCCAAATAAGTGCCTGTGACAACTTGTGATGCTTTCCAGCCTGATTTCCATCCATATTTTTGCCTGGAACATTCTAAATGCGCGGGTCATCCAAATTTTCGTAACTGGTGCGAGTTGCAGCAATAAAAAGATTCTCTAGCTAGTGCTGTGCGTCTTAGTCGTCTCGGTTCTTTGTTGGTCTATACCAAAATGTAATAGACAAAAAAAGCTGCTTGAAGCTCTGTACCTTTTTCACCTATTACGTCCAAGCTGATTACATTTTTTTTGTGATTATATTTCTATTACGTTGCTAGAGCCTCGCACACAAACTCCCGAGTGTGCGATGCAAAATTAAAGTGAGATACCCAGAAACCCGTTTCAGGTGCCCTGAAGTCGCTGACGCAAATTTTGAGGAATGTATTTAAAAAGGTATTTGGAGGAGACCAAATACATTCGGTTGTATTTGTATCTTGTACTTAAATGCTTTTTTGGAAATGTAATTAGATTTGTAATTAAATACATTTTTGACGAAGTATTTTGTATTTGTATTTCGATACATATTTGCATGTATTTTGCCCATCCCTGCCGTGTGATCACGTCCAAGTCACCACTGTGGCGTGGCGACGGATGTTGCTTATCACGTCCGTGTCATCAGTGTAGCGTCTTAGGCTGTTCCAGCCTGACTTGGAAGTTAAACTCGCCACGCTACAGTCGAATTCGGACTGATGACTTCTCATAACCCTGAGGATATGCCGCTGCTGCCTTTGGACCACACTGTAAGATAAAGTGGTCTAGCAAAAAGAACTCTCTTTATAAGTTATTATAAATAACTTCCTTTTTAATAACTTACAAAGTTATTTTTAATAACTTTATAAGTTAGTAAAAATAACCAAACAGCATTGCAGATTGCCCATAGACCAGTGTCCGAAATCCTAGCCCCCAGCGATACAATGTGAAATAATAATACCAAGCGCAGGCTCTTAGGTAGGAGGGCCTTTGCATAAAACAAGGCTTTTTGCTCTTTACAAGTACTCTTGGCATTGGTGTTGTTCTTAGAGCTTGCTTTGTGACGATGCCTTTCGGGCTTTCTTGCCCTACAATATGTGCAAAGGTTTCTAAAAAAAAAAAAAAAAGTCTCGCAAAAAGCGCAGCCCCTTTCCCCCCCCCCCCCCCCCCACTTTACCGTGTCATTGTGTCAGCATAAACAAACATGGCGGCGCCCATGGAACAGAGCAGACACTGCTCTATAGCTATCCTTCTGTTTTGTCTGGGCTTCACGCATTGGTAAATAATAAATATTGTCAGCATATAATCGGCTCCAGATCACGTGGCCGCTTGTTCCGGCTGCGAGTTGAAGGGGTGAACGCCGCTCGTTTTTCCTTAATCTGTTTTTTCAACTATCATTGCGTGGGGAGGAAATCTAATGCGTGTTTTGTATATTACAAAGGCCAGGGATTAATTTTAAATGGTATTTGCACGAAGTACAAGAAGGGTTGCACCAGTTCTCTAAGCTCGTAAACTTGTGGTTGCAGCTATACGGAGCCAAGATGGCTTACCCAGAGCTGCTGCTCCCGGTGTCTCCGGAGGTGGACAGCCGTCTCAAGGATGCCGTCAAGGACGCTGACCTGGTGAAGCTCCTTCGCGACGGCACCTTCAACGCCTCCCTTCCCGGGGACGACCTCTTCCTCGTGGAGCTGCACACCGCCAGGCTCGTCATTGATCAGGTGAGGAGAGGAATGTGTGGCAAAGTTCACCTGCCCAAGTTGGTGATGGCAACACTTTGGCTCTGGAGACGGTGGCTTCCGGCGTCTTTTCAAAGACTCCATAAAGCCGCAACCACACTGCCCGTGCATCACACAGAAAGCACGGCGTTTGCGGCAGACATGACAACAAAATTATCTGCGTACTTGCCTAGATCGTGTTCAAAGCACGTTTCCCTCGTGCATATGTATCCTTCAAACGTGTCTGCAGACAGTTTTAGCGTGACCGGTGTGGCAGGGCACAAACAAGAAACTACTGGTTACAAAACTTTGATCAAGGTTTGGTACACGGTCGATGGCTGCCACTAGGGGTGCCACTGTCTCCGAGTGGGCATTTTCGGTCGGCCGCCCCACTCTCGGCGCGCCACCCCGGATTTGCCATTCCAAGTAGTTTTTTAAAACAACTTCTCGTACATTGAAATTTCGTTACGCCTGCATTTGATCACTGTATGCAAGTGCCGGTCATTCTTAATTGATCTCTTTAAAGGGAACTTACAAATAAGCTTTTTTCAGTTGTTTTCCAAGAAATCCATATTTTTGCGGGTGAAATGAAGCTACCGTAAAAAGCCAGGCAAGTGCCCACTCAAAATTTAGAAATAATCGCGACAGAATGGCGGGTGGGCACTTGTCCGGTCATCAATTTTGCATATAAGTGTACTGCGCGTATTTCCTCAGATCTTACAAATTTGGGAATGGGCGCTTAATGTGGAATGGGCGGATGCACGGTATTGTACGGTAGATAATTGAACATACTAATTCACAGTGCCCCTCTACTAGATGGCTCTAGTCGTAGCGCAGAAATTTTACGGTGAGGAGGATATTGAGAGGTCATTTTGATAAAAGATAAATTAATAAAAATTTTATCAATTTGGAGATTGTTGCAAATATACAAGATTTAGCAGCTGATTGAGTGTACACAGTTGAGGACGCTTACATTAACAAGAAACGCTGTCAGTACGATGAAATGTTATCTCGATTTTTAGGTGGCTTGTTCAGGGTGGGTTAGAAATTCCGACACACTTGCGGGTTGCCAGACTCTCAGCAGCACAGGCTATAGTTGGTGACAAGTTAAGATTAAAATAGAAGCTCCTCCCACCTCTCTCCCCTTCGGTAAATTAAAAGCGGGAGAGGGTGCGACCTCTTCTCCAGCATCCTCTCTGCCAAAGTGGAAAGAGGTGGGAGGAGCTTCCACTTTAATCTTAATCTGTCACCGACTATAGATTGGCGGCCCTTTGCCCCCCCCGTCGACGCTAGTGCCGCACATGGTTGCATACTAAGCTCTCCCATGGCATTGCATTGAACAGTTATGTGATTGCTGTGCCAAACTGCGCCAAGGGGCTAATCCTGCTACATCCTGCTTCATTTTGCCAAAATGTAGGTAATCTGTGCCAAGCCTGCGCCAAAGAAGCATTTTCGGTCGCCTTTCAAAACCGAAACTAAACTGAGAACCGTAATTGCGCATGCATCAGCTAGGTGGCGCAAGCGGCCGCTTGACACAAAGTACCCTGCATCAGTCGTCCATCCGGTCTTGCATATTTTTTCCCGCCGTCCTAACCTCCTTGCCGCCGTCTCGCGTTTCGCGCCCTCGTGGCCAACGTTGCTCGTGCCCTGGTCCCTCGTCGTCTCAAAAATCTCGTCTCGCGTCTTTTTAAAATTGTTTACAATGGATGTGGGCGTATGCAGACACCCCGACGCTAGTGTGCCGGGTGCCAGCCATGCCGTCATGCTGTGAAACGAAACCATGTTTTCGCGCGGCGGGATGTACTTTGTGAGCTGAAGCACCCGCTCCTGAAAGCAACAGCCGTGGGAAAACTGTATTTGGTCCCTGCCTTCCAGTCACCGTGGTCTTGCGACGTCGGGTGTTGCCGTTCCCACGTCGCTGCAGATATGGCGCTTTCTATACTTCTTCATGGACATTCCTGGCCTTCTTTAAATCATACTCTACTACAAAAAACCCTCTAACTCAAAGACTGCTTGTCGAAATATTTATTACCTAGGTTTCTCTCGGTGGACTTCCTTTCGAGTGGGAGCCCGGAACGTGAAAAATCTGCCGTGAAAGAAAGTTGGTGAAGAGAAGTGAGCTAAAACAAAGAAGGCAATGTCTGCACGTTGAACTCGCACAGCGCGCTTGTTTGCCTCGAGTTTGGTCGTTGCACAAAGCGCTCCAAGAACTTTTCGACCCTGGCTAGCATTGTCATGCATTGATGCGCTCAGAGATTTTTTTTCTCTCCTCTGTGGGTTTAGCTTGTACATCCCCTGGCGGCCTGGCAAGCACAAGCTGCTCAACTGCTTTTTTTTTTTTTTTTGTATCCTGAACAGTTACATTTTGCACACTATTTTGGAAACCAGTTGGCGACGGAGGGGAGTGGCATTGTTTCGGTTTCGATTGAACAACCGTTGTCTCTGCCCGCGCAATGAAGCACGTGCCACTGCAAGCCTGCTGAAGTTGCCCTCACGTGCATGTGAACATGACTGCATGACAGAGGCGCCAGCCGGAACGCTTGCAATTCATTGTTTTGCGTTTGCTTACTTTTGACGAAAATCTGGCACGTCGGGAACCAGTAAAACGGTGGCAAGCGTTCTGTTCGGAATTGCTCGGCAACGCCTATAACACTGTGCACTTGTGGGATGTCTCAGCAGTAAAACACAAACAGCGAGTTCTGTCACAACACACCACAAAGTTCCCTTCGTTTGTCCAGCAATTAAAACAAATCTATTAATTTTTTTAAGAATATCTGCTCCAAAAGCCACTTTTGCTGCTCCGAAACACTGTTTGGGCTGCTCCAAAACACTGTTCTGGCTGCTCCAAAGGCCACTTTTGCTGCTCTAAAACACTGTTTTGGCTGCTCCAAAAGGTGCTCCAAAATGGCTTAGGCCAATCACATCACTGATAGAAGTTTAACACTTAGTAGCATATTAAAGGACTCTGCCGTTGGTTTGAAGAGCTTTTTGGATTACCGGTTTTAGTTTTTCTGGATTACTGGTTTTAGCTAGTTGGCACCTTGTCGTTGTGGGTGAGGAAACAGCTAGAACACTAAACGATCACACAAAGACAGGACACCCACACAAAGCTTTGTGTGTCTGTGTCCTGTCTCTGTAATCGTTTAGTGTCCAAGCTGTTCCCTCATCATCAAAAGAAATGCTCTCATGGCCTCTGCCGGTTGCAAACTGAAAATCACTCGTTCTGAAATGCGAGCTTGCTCTTCTACTCTAGCGGGGTTCTTGCATGGCTGGTTTCGGCGATCTTTTCGCCCACCAGTCTGGTGGGCGAAAATACTGTCCACTTTTATATTTTGCTGCGGCATAGTTACTGACAAGCTGAGAATGACAGTTGCACCGCCTCCAGTGCGAGCTTCCTACTTTTGACGATGCTTCAATGTCTCGTGCTCCTCAAGCACGCACACACAGGCAGAGCGCGGAGGAAGGCACGAAGCGTGTGCCGGAGACCGGGCGTTCGGAAGACACGCCCCGCTATTCTCATTCTGTCGGCGACCATAAACAAGGTTGATTTTGCAATGCACAGTGCAGCAGACTGTCGTGCTGGACAGACTTGCACAGCACCACACGTAGGTACGAACCTCTGCAGTTGGCATCGCTGCTTTACAGACACCGGTGTGAATAGGGAAGCGCTGAAAGGGAAGCCGTTCCATTGCTTATGGCCTGCCATGTCAGCCATACGGTCGTTCATACTCACTGTTGGAACTAACGCGTTACAAGTAACAACGTTACTGGTAACATACTAGTTTTTAGACTAACATACTTGTTAGAATCCCAAACAACTAACGAGTAAAGTAATGTCATTATTTTACAGTATCTCCCATCAAGTTACGTTACCCGTTGCTTTTGATTAAAGATGGCCACGTGATTGTTTGAAAACAAAATATTTTAATTCTGCGCGCTACGTAGAGGTGGCAAAGAAACCCCAACAAAGCTATGTATAAGCGGCGTCATTTCAAATGAAGACACTTTTAATGTTCCCATTACCGGGCCCAAAAGGCGCAAGATTATCGCTGCACAGAACCCCTAAGCGTCCTTGGTGCTGTGTTTTTTTATAGAAGCAGCTAAGATCACCGTCGCTGTCTCACTGGAAAGAGCGAGAAGGCAGAAGGCAACAGTCTGCCACTGCTCGAAGGATTTTGCCACAACGTCCCTAGCTACTCCAGCTGGTCACATCCTTCTCTTCAAAACAAATGAAATCTCGTTCTGTCAACAACAGAAAGGATAAACTCTAAGTTTGGAAATGTTGACATTCCCACACTTTGAACCAAAACAAGTGTGTCAGCGGGTGCTGACGTGTAGTTAATTGGAAATGCAGCGCCTGTTGAAGGATAAAATAATGTTTATTTTATGAGATTAACTTTATTTACACGAAGACGTCTATTTTGCATCCATTACGTGGCATGCATCTGGTCTATCTCTTCAGAGCGGTTTCTTCTTCCCAGGCCCATGTACTATGTATGGGCAAGGTTCGGTTCTCTGAATTGCGCTCGCAAAGGGTCATGTGTTCGAGGATATAGATTACACATCCTGCCGAGGCCAGGCGAACAAGCTAAACGTGTTGAGGAGATACATTACAGTTGTCCGCATTGCGCTCGCGGATATACATTACACATGCTGCTGACAGTGAATCTTTTATTAACCTGATCAATGCAATGTGAATTTCTTTGTTAGTATTTTTGGCGTTATTGAAATTTTGAAATTTTATTATTTTGTGTTGTTTTGAGTTGTTTATTTATATTGTTGGTTGCTGGCTTATGCTGTTTGTGCGAGTTTCCAATGTATAAATGTGGTCTTTACCCCATTCTTCTGCTGTAATGCTTTGGCACTGCAGAGTACAAATGAATAAATAAATAAACAATTACTCTGAACAAGTGTATTGTTGCCAATGTTTCTAGAGGCGGTTTATTATAAACAGCTGTCATGCACTAACAGTAAAACAGGAAGCAACGACAAACTAACGTAAA